TCTGGAAAAAAAACCAAAAATCCTGGGAAAAAAATCCCCAAAATTTTGGAAAAACCCCAAAATTCCTGAGGGAACTCCTGGGAAACACCAAAATTTGGGAATACCGAGACCCCCTCGCCCTGACAATTCCCAAAATTTCAGGATTTTTCCTCTCACAATTCCCAAAATTTTGGGATTTTTTTCCCCTCACAATTCCAAAAATTTTTGGGATTATTTCCTCTCACAATTCCCAAAATTTTGGGATTTTTTTCCCCTCACAATTCCAAAAATTGGGGATTTTTCCTCTCACAATTCCCAAAATTTTGGGATTTTTCCGCCAACAATTCCCAAAATTTTGGGATTTTTTCCCCTCACAATCCCCAAAATTTGGGGATTTTTCCCCGTCATAATTCCCAAAATTTGGGGATTTTTTCCCCTCACAATCCCCAAAATTTGGGGATTTTTCCCCTCATAATTCCCAAAATTTGGGGATTTTTCCGCCAACAATTTCTAAAATTTGGGGATTTTCCCCTCACAATCCCCAAATTTTGGGGATTTTTTTCCCCCAACAATTTCCAAATTTGGGGATTTTTCCCCTCACAATTCCCAAAATTTGGGGATTTTTTCCCCCAACAATCCCCAGAATTTGGGGATTTTCTTCCCCTCACAATCCCCAAAATTTGGGGATTTTTCCGCCAACAATTTCTAAAATTTGGGGATTTTCCCCCTAACAATTCCCAAAATTTCGGGATTTTTTTCCCCCAACAATTCCCAAACTTGGGGATTTTTCCCCCTCATAATCCCCAAAATTTGGGGATTTTTCCCCCTCACAATCCCCAAAATTTGGGATTTTTCCCCTCACAATTCCCAAAATTTGGGGATTTTTTCCCTCCCGTCGCTTTTTCCCCCTCACGCCTCATTGTCACTCCCGCCATTTCCCCCGGTTTTTCCTGTTTTTTTCCCGGTTTTTTCCCGGTTTTTTCCCGTTTTTTTCCCCCTGCCGCCTCACTGCCGCTCTCGCCGCTGCCCTGAGCCCTCCCCCTCCCCGTTTTTCCCGTTTTTCCCGTTTTTTTTCCCGTTTTTTCCGCGTTTTTTCCCTCCCGACCTTCCCGGGCCGACCCATGCCGGCGCCGCCGCGTGGCCCCCGCCACTTCCGGTCTGTCCTTTCAGCCACTTCCGGCCTGTCCCTTCCGCCACTTCCGGTCTGTCCCTTCCGCTCGCTTCCGGCTGGAAAGTGTTTCCCGAATTTGAGTTCCGCCGGACCGGGACCACAAAAAAAATCCCCCCAAAAATCCCAAAAAATCCCCCCAAAAATCCCCCAAAATCCCCCCCAAGGACCCCAAAACCTTCGGCGCGGCAGCGAATGAGAGGCAGCGGCTGTGGAGGAGTTCTGGGTTTAATG